TTTTTCTTACCTTTCTCTCTCTCTCTCTCTCTCTCTCTCTCTCTCTCTCTCTCTCTCTCTCTCTCTCTCTCTCTCTCTCTCTCTCTCTCTCTCTTTCTCTCTCTTTCTCTCTCTCTCTCTCTCTCTCTCTCTCTCTCTCTTTTTCTCTCTCTCTTTCTCTCTCTCTCACTCACTCGCACACAAACACGCGCTCACTCACATACGTTAACCCTCGCGTCAAGCTCGACCATGTTTTATGCACTACTCGGCCATCAGCCATAGATAATTCACGGTACTACGGCCACGTGCTCTGTCAAAACGTATCCATCAAATAAGGCGATACACACCATTGGCGCAATAGAAGACATAACCCCGCCCACAAACCCGCCCCTTTCGTCTTATCTTTGCCGAGCGCCAGCGTTGACAACTCATGCACGCGCCGTCAGCACCCACGACCACCTCCTCATCACGCCCATTTCTTTTGCCTGGTGTGGTTACAGTGCTAACCAGATCGCCAACTTTTTAATTTAATAACGGGTTGTGATGGCTCAACTCCCATATTAGATGTCTGTAAACTCGACCAGACGCAGTCTAGACTCACGCGTTAATTTGATAATTCATAAGTTGAGAACCGCTCAAGTTTAAACTGAGTCAAAGTAAGTAAATATTTGGATGTGTTACTTTACATTACTCGTGGATACTATTCAATCAAGAAGTGTTACATTATCTAACGCGTACTTCTTTATATCTGCACAACGTCATTCTCCTTCTGTCAGTGCCAATAAGTACTGATAAACATTGATCACTTTTATCATTCTAACTTCAGGGTGCTCTGTAACAAATCATGCGGTGATAAATTGTTCATAAACGTCAGTGATAAATAATGCGAGAAAAGACATAAATTCCGGCAACTCTTTATGTAAATATAACAAATATCGCAGTTATTTTTGCATAAACAACAATTTTTATTTTTATTTCTCATGTTATCACGTAAACATATAACTTACATCCTCTTGCTTTGGCCCATAAATAACAATTATTTCTTTACTTCCTATATTATTATCTAAATATAATTTAATTATAATTTCATTTCGCATACATTCACCCATACATGACGATTGTTACTTTATTTCAATTTTTTTTTTAGCGCATACATAAATGGCAATTATAATTTAATTTCTCAAACTTTTATCCATAAGTAGTAGTTATGTGTGAACTTAACATATTCCACACAAAGCACTTGTAATTTTATTTTTTACCTAATAAATAATTACTCATAGAAGCAACTGATAGGCTTTTTTTTAGTATTGTTATCCATTAAATAAGAAGCAGTTTAATGTATTTAAATATTGCTTGTAAAAGTAATTGTAAACTGATTTCTTTCATTATTGCTCATAAAAGTAAGTGTGAATTTATTTGTTACGTTACTGCTCATAAAAGTAATTTTTAATTTATATCTGACATTTTACTCATGAAAGTAACGGTGAATTAATTTCTTACACTAATCCTCATAAAAGTAATTGTTAACTTATTTCTTACTGTTTTGCCCAGAAAGCAATTGTCAATTTATATCTTACATTGTTGCTTACAAAAGTAACTGTTACTGTACGATTTGTATTACGACAGAGCCAGACTTGTTTTCAAAAATGGCATTGACTCCCAGGTCGACCCAGCCTTGAGCAGGTACCAGGTGCAGTCCCGGAAAGTAAAGGCGACCGGTGTGAAGCTGACCACATCTGCAGTTTAGTCCTGTTCAATAAATTTGATTTTTGAGTGCACATCCGTTTAACAGATCTAGCTTATTCGTATGCAGACTGCTGGTTTTTCGATTTTAGGGCAGCTGAACTTCGATTTTAAAAGATCGTTTTATCTGTTTAAAGAGCCCGCTCATGCTTTCGCGGATCACGCATCTGATGCCACACTCATGTTTTATATATTTGTCTTAACAGATCAATCGGCATTAAGTGGATGATGCAAAAATCATCTACTAGTGCCCTTCGTAATTTTGCTTCATGTATATTTTTTCTCGATGTTCTAGTTTTTCTAATTTTTATTATTATATTATTGTTATTATTATTATTATTTTATTTCTTCTTATTATTATTATTATAGTTGTTCTGTATTTCTCTTCTTATTATTTTTTCTCCATTCAACGTAGTTGTGTAGTTTATTTTCTTCTAATCGTTATCTTGTTTGTCAGTCTCTCTGTTATTATAGGTTGTTTTCTTCTATGTTGTTCTTCTTCGTTTTCAAGTTCTCTTTCTTCTTCTTCTTCTTCTTCTTGTTTATTTGGCAGTTCTCCTTGTTCCCAATACGAGTGCCGGTAGTCTGGAAAAGCTTCTGCCGGACGGTTGCCGTTTATTACGTCCGTTCTTTTGTAGACTGAGAAATATGTTTCGAAATGTTCAGATACTAGGCTGAGTTTAATGCCCTTCTCGTATCCCTAAGTTGAGTTTAGCGAGGAGACTTGGAAGTGTATTTTCTCTGAACTGTGATGCATCTGCCGGAGAGGTGTGAACCATTGTACATGCAAACAATTAAGCGCGATATATTTGTACTCAAAACTCAAGTTTTGGAACAAGGCAAAAAAAAAAAAAAAAAGTGGACGAGGTGGACGAACAACCAGAAATTCCCGACGGAATTTACTGCCAGTGAATTAGAAGAAGACGAAGAAGATATTACATTTTAGCATGTAAGGTCATTTGAAAGAGATCTTCGTTTTATTATTATTTATAAACTATATATATATTCACATTTTTATTGATTTCTGTTATTTCTGTCTTGATATTATTGTTCATGTTGTTTTTCTGCCTTTTTCTGTTCCTTCTTTTTGCTTTTCCTCGTCTATCTGTTCGTGTGGTGTTTCTAATTCTAATCGTTACCTTGTTTTTCCTAGCAAAGATGGGTTCCTTTCGGTTTGCTCTGCCATTTCGCTGTACTTCTAAGACTACCAGACCTAGAAAACTACCATACTTCAATTCTTTGCTGTTGTCATTTGGCATCCTTCACCTTGTTCCCAATACGAGTGCCGGTGGTTTGGAAAAGCAAAACATTGGATAGTTGTTGTTTATTACGTCAGTTCTTTTGTCCACTGAGAAAGATGTTGGTCGAAATGTTCAGATACTAGGCTACTTACTGCCCTTCTCCTATCCCTAAGTTGAGTTTAGTCAGGAGACTTATTAAGTGTATTTTCTCTGAAGTCCGAATGCATCTGCCGGAGAGGCAATGAACCAACAACATGCAAACAATTAAGCTAGGTCTGTAAAATGGATTTATACATCACTGTTGTCAGGAGTATCATTCACTCACTTTACACATCACTGTTATCAGGAGTATCCTTCACTCACTTTACACATCACTGTTGTCAGGAGTATCATTCACTCACTTTACACATCACTGTTATCAGGAGTAACCTTCACTCACTTTACACATCACTGTTGTCAGGAGTATCATTTACTCACTGTACACATCATTGTTGTCATGACTATCCTTTACTCACTGTACACATCCGTGTTGTCATGAGTATCATTTACACATTGTACATATCATTGTTGTCATGAGTATCATTTACACACTGTACATATCTGTGTTTTCAGTAGTATCCTTTACTCAATGTACACATCAGTGTAGTCATAACTATCCTTTACTCACTTCACATATCACTGTTGTCAGGAGTATCCTTCACTCGATTTACAAACTGCAATGTCTCCACTCTTGTCAGTGCCGCAGAAAGACCATTCGATGCCCTAAGCACCGTCCTATTATGGTATAAGCTAACTGAACTACAGCTCCGTCTCTGTTCCCTGTAGCCGTCTCACATACCAATAGTACACAGTTATGTGCAGTAAACATTTATTGTATCATTAAATATCCCAGCAGATTAATTAAGGCAGTTTAGTCGCGAGGCAAATAACTGCATACCAAGCTGGGTTCAGAATGTTGAATTAACGAGTTGACACGTGTGGTTTGGTACATTTTCCCTACGTAAGTTGTGGATGCGATGGAGATAGGTTCGAATTCCACGGAAAATATGTTTTAGTGTCTTTTATATAGAACAGACATAGTCTCAGTCGATTCATCACTGTTGTTAGGAGTATTGTTTATTTACTTTACACACATCACAATGTTTCCTCTCACGGAGCGCGCCTTGTCATTTTCTTTTCTTTTTAAATTGTTATTTCATTGCACTGTCTGTCTGTCTGTCTGTCTGTCTGTCTGTCTGTCTGTCTGTCTGTCTGTCTGTCTGTCTGTCTGTCTGTCTGTCTGTCTGTCTGTCTGTCTGTCTGTCTGTCTGTCTGTCTGTCTGTCTGTCTGTCTGTCTGTCTGTCTGTCTGTCTGCCTGCCTGCCTGCCTGCCTGCCTGCCTGCCTGCCTGCCTGCCTGCCTGCCTGCCTGCCTGCCTGCCTGCCTGCCTGCCTGCCTGCCTGCCTACCTGTCTGTGTGTGTGTGTCCCAAAAAGTGGCTCTAGCCACAACTATCTTATAACATTATGTTCTGAGCTGGTAAAACCTATCAGCCGAAACGTTCACTTCTCTGTGTGTGTGTCGTTCTATTGGATGGGCTCCTATGTTACATTTAGTGTTCTTTAAGACAACCAACCAGCCAGCCAACCGATTAATCAACCAACAAGTCAACGAGCCAACAAACCATCTAGTAGACTAGCCAACCAATCTAACCTAACCACCAGCTAGCTAGCCAAGCCCACCACCCCACAACCAACCCAACCTCCCACCCATCAACCCACCCCCCACCAATCAACATATCCACCAACCATCTTTCTAGTCTACTTGATCTAAAATAAACACACCTTGTGATCGCGAAACACATTATAAATGAACATTAACACTGTAATTCTATATTTTCAGTTACGGGAAAACATCTGCTTCATTGTCGTTTGGGAGCAACAAGTTCGGGAAAAGTCTACAGAGGACAAGGCACTTACAGAGAAGTACTCCTCCCCATGCTGCAGTTGATCCCTACCTCGCTGCCATGCTTGTTCTAGCCGAATCAGACCTGTCCACAATGATTGCTTCGTCAGAATCATCTCTAGTGCCGGCTCCATCCCAATGTTCCGGACCCCATGGTATGACTCCAGGACTCTGCCCCGACTACCCACACTCGCCGTCTGCATCTAAACCAGTTGGGCAGCACATGGGGCATACAGGAACCCAGGGTAACTCCATGACTTCTCGGGGGTCTCATCAGAGTCACCAGTGGGATATCAATGACAGCACTTTGCCAGTGGTAAGTATTTCGTAACCTGTTTTTGAAGAATTGGGTCATTCTTCGTGATCTCCTCCTTCTTTGTAATCGTCTAGTCGATATCGTGTGGCATTGATAGTCATGTCTGTAAATAACCTTCGCCCGGCTCTCTAGCGTAGTTGGCTAAACCGGATTGCGCGGTGACCGGGTGACGAACTCCTTATGGTTCACTACCGGGGGTAGGCAAAAAAGCCCCATTTCTCCCAGATTTACGGTATTCACAGTGGAATCAAGGCCGAAAGGTTGCAATATCCATAATACCGAGCCTAAGGGTTAACAACTCATGGCTTCTGGATACTAAAACAAAAAATACATAACCTTCCGTCTCATGTACTTTCAATCAGTAAAATCTATCTATACATCCACAACTTCGCCGCTTATGAATAAATGTTCACTAATCGACCAACTGTCCACGATTCACTTTCGTTTATCAGACAGGACTTCTTTCTCCCCACAGTCTTAAGAATGTAAAAGTGGCAATTAAATCCACACTCAGCCAAAAGATGCCAAGATTTGTTTGCAAGACCACTCGTCTGGACAAAGCAGTGCTCTCTTGTTAAACATTACCGTTTTTATTACTTCAGTTAAGTAATTTTTGTGTATTCGTGTCCGTGTATGTGGTTTTGTTGATTGATGTAATGTGCTGAGGAAGGCTGTGTTCGCCGCAACGTTCACTTTCCGTTTGTGTTTGTTACATTGTGAAGCTCGCTGGTCTACTTTTCATTTGGTTTTATATCTTTTAATGATTAAGTCCATTAAGGATACACGACTAACTTGGGAATCTTGTCGTAAGCTGTAGGAAGTCAAATCAAAATAATTTAACAAAGGCAAAGAAATTTGATAACTCTATAGATTACCATTCGCTACATTCTACTAATTTGTCCAACGTAGCGATTTTAACATTTAGCAAAAAATAACAGACAAGTCTAACAAAGGCAAGCATTTTACAGCGTAACATTCTGTATATCAACTGCAAAAACAGTGGTTATAAAATGGAAGGAATTAACAACTTAGCATAGCACCCGCTGTCAGTGATATGGTTTGGAAAAGGGGGTGGGGGGAACCGCCATTCAGATGCAGCCAACAACACACCGTGGGCACAACAGACAAACAAATTTCACATGAAATCCACACACCGTGGGCACAACAGACAAACAAATGTCACATGAAATCCACACACCGTGGGCACAACAGACAAACAAATTTCACATCAAATCCACACACCGCGACAAACAACATTTCACATGAAATCCACACACCGTGGGCACAACAGACAAACAAATTTCACATGAAATCCACACACCGTGGGCACAACAGACAAACAAATTTCACATGAAATCCACACACCGTGGGCACAACAGACAAACAAATTTCACATGAAATCCACACACCGTGGGCACAACAGACAAACAAATTTCACATGAAATCCACAGCTCAATATCACATCAAGCCCTCAGCTTTGTAGCTGGACGACGGAACCTTTTGACTTTTGGTCCATGTGTGGAGAATTTGTATCAGCAAAATCTAGTTTGTAACAAATAAATTGTCAGAGCGTCAGCCGGCTATCGGCTATTTTGGCCGGAAGACTGGGGGGTGAGGGTTGGGGGGTGGAGCCAGTATAATTTATTAAATAAATGTCACACAATGTTCAAGATATTTTTTTTTAAAGCTGCATGAAAGGGAACTGGTTGTAGCTTATTACGTGTTGCACAGAATATGTGAAGCCCCATCACTTACCGCCTTAATAGCAGCCTTGTCTATAGGAACTTAGTTGGGTTCTTAATTTATAACGTACCCCAAACACGAAATCCCTGTGGGAAATCCACAGCTGACCTGACAGTCCATTATTTCAAGGGGTAGAAGTGTGCTGTTGTGTGGTGTGTTTTTTTTTTTTTTTTTTGAGTGTTTATCTAGTGTCTTCTAATCTTCTAATGCTAACTCTAACCCTAACCCTAAACTTGGCTGTCGATAATTCGCGATAAACTACAACCTGAACACCCTAGAATTTATTGGGATTGTCTCCCGTGACGTTGTCGTGACGTCAGGGGTAAGTTATAAATTCAGTACCCTTGGTTGCTCTCCGTGAAATTAGGGCCTTATTTTTCGGCTGTCAAAAATTTTTTTTAAAGAAACACCCACTGGCCACTTAGCAAGCATGTCGTAACAGGTGACTATTTAATGAGTCGCTGAAATCATATTTGTTGGACTGAGGAGGCGCAGATATCGCAGCCTATCTGTCAACCCCAACACAACCTGCTAACCGCCATTTTAAGTACGAACGAAGGAGAAGGGTCTTTACTTGGTTAACAAGAACCGAAGCAACCCGTTTTAATCAGACTTTCCAGAACGTGCACCGACCGCAAAATTCCATAAAGAATTTCCTCTTTCTTGTCTAAGGACTTGTCAATCTAACTGCTGAATGAATGCACCCCTGTTCAAATAAAACCCGTTTAGGCTCACAATTGCAAGTCCGGCAAGAACAATATGGCGCGGATTTGAACCAATCAAATCCTTTTATTCCACTCAGTCAACTGCCATGTTTAATACGTCACCAGCCAGCCACGTGGCCAGGAGTCGGCCACCCTGACTTCCGCCGATTCCAGCGTCAATCAAGCTTGAGCTGGGGTAGGGGGCCCTGCTAATAACACGTTCTTGTGGCTCTTCTCTCTCAACAGACGCGCGCCGCTGTCTTGAAATGTCTTTCGATTTGAAGATTTTTTATTTCAGCAAATCCATTAGTTATTGCGTCTTTTAAATATTTTAAAAAGGTGTGTGGTATTGCTTGCATCATCTTAAGAGGGGCATAAAAAAAAACCTCCAGCCAGACCCATCTTGTGAAATCTTTAGAACTTAACGATGCAGGCTATTCAAGCAACCGGAAATTTCTGCAAGAACAATTCAGCTACAGAGCCAGATTTTTTAGTTGAGTGGAGGGCCGAAAAGAAATTGAAAAGTGGGATGATTTGTGTTAAGCCTGGGGTTTTGCACAGGTAGTGAACAATGATCACAAAGCGTTTGTTTTGTGTACATAAGAATGGGCTGTCAATCATGCAGAGCGGTCTCGCAGGTGTCAAGTTCAGATACTTATTGAGCTTGTAGAGATGTGGTGCCGGTTGTCGTTGTATACCTGAGTTTGATTGTTGTTGCTGTTTTGTTCGCTGCATTTTATTTGTTGCTGCCGTTGTGCCGGTTGTTGCTGTTTGTACTTTATTTTGCTTCACTATTGCTGTCCTGGCGTCAGTGGCTAAGGCGTTGCGAGTCCGACTCGTAATCCAAAGTACCACGATCGAAACCCACTGCGGGCTGCGTGGATTTTTATCGTGGTATGGGACGTCGCAGGTCGACCCAGCCTCAAATGGGTACCAGGATGGCTGTCCTGGGGAGGTAAAGACGGCCGGCTTAATGCTGACCATATTACCAACCTAAAGCCGAATTGTCTTTAAAAAATATGGGACCCTCTGCCCATATACCCGATGCGCCTAAAGGCTTGAAAAAGGATCTTTACTTTATTTTTTTTTTTACTATTGCTGTCCTCGTCTTCCTCTTCTCTGTCCTCCTCCTCGTTATCATCATTATAATCTTCTCCTTCTTCTTCCTCTTCTTCTTCCCCCACACCCTCTCCCTTTTATTCTTCAAGTTGTGTCTTACATTATCTCATCAACTTTCACTTTTTTGTTTTCTCGTCTTTAAGAATCGTATACTAGTAACTGGTAGCCATGGTGGTTCCTCGGCTAGCCACTCTCCTGCTGACCCGAAGGTCGTGGTTTGAAACCCGCATGATATCGAATTGTTTTTTTTTTCAAACATGGCCTTGGCACCCAAATCGACCTAGCCTTAAATATGAAGTCTTGGAAAGTAAAAGCGGCCGGTGTGTTGTTGATCATTTCACCCATCGAGGGCATTATGTAATTATCTATAATAATATGAGTGTAGCCTCATGAGCCTGATGCGCCACCGGCATGTACAAGGACAATACTTGACGTTGACTATTAGTTGCTGGTGTTGTGTATGATAGGCTTATAGACCATATACAACTGAGCCTAAATTGTTTGGGCCAATCGGTCAACATTATGCCGGCCGCCTTTATTTCATAAGAAATTTCTGTTTACAAATTTAAACGCAATGTGGCAGGCAGGCAAGAAGAGGATGAGGACAAAGAAGATAAAGAAGAAGAAGAAGAAGAAGAAGAAGAAGAAGAAGAAGAAGAAGAAGAAGAAGAAGAAGAAGAAGAAGAAGAAGAAGAAGAAGAAGAAGAAGAAGAAGAAGAAGAAGAAGAAGAAGAAAGAAGAAGAAGAAGAAGAAGAAGAAGAAGAAGAAGAAGAAGAAGAAGAAGAAGAAGAAGAAGAAGAAGAAGAAGAAGAAGAAGAAGAAGAAGAAGAAGAAGAAGAAGAAGAAGAAGAAGAAGAAGAAGAATAGGATGAGAATGCGGAAATGGAGGAGGGGAGAGAGAGAGAGAGAGAGAGAGAGAGAGAGAGAGAGAGAGAGAGAGAGAGAGAGAGAGAGAGAGATAAAGATGAAGAAAGCAATAGTAATATAGAAATAAAAAATAAGCACAGCAGCAGCAACAACCACACAGGGACAAGAACAGATGTATAGATGCAAGAACAACGAACAAAACAGCAACAAGAATAAACTCAGGGATACCACAGCGACGGTACCACAAGAGGTTCTTTTTAATAAATAAATCAATTTAAAAAAAAAAAAAAAAAGAGAGAGAGAAAAAAAATCCGACTCTGAATTTGAACCCAAGACGTCTGAGCCAAGCGTTTATGAAGTGCGCTACTGCTGATCCGAAAATCTTTATCTTTGATTGTTTTCCTTTTTTCTTTACTGAAATACGACCTACATTCACATCTCACCGAGCCTATAGTTAAACTTTCGGATTTCTTACCAGAGCATCAACGAACCGTAATTACCAACAGTCACCTAGAAAATTATCCTCCACACCAAACTAGAAGCTCCCAAACAGGGCGACCTGAATG